GGCTAATTTTTATATTTTTAGTAGAGATGGGGTTTCACCAAGTTGGCCAGGCTGGTCTCAAACTCCTGACCTCAGGTGATCCGCCCGCCTCGGCCTCCCAAAGTGTTGGGATTACAGGTGTGAGCTACCGTGCCTGGCCAGCACACTCTCTTTCAGTAAGTTATCATCTCAGTGCGACTAACTTGCACTTGAGACGACATGCAGAGGCAGACTCGGGATGGTGACCGCGCCCCGTGGAAAACCAAGGTGCTGTGAGAGTCAACAGCGGGAGTGTGTTCCAGGTGGGGAACAGCATGTACAGAGCCATGGTGTGGGGGCTGCACAGGGGTGTACCCGGAACGGGGGCAGAGGGAGAGGGCAGTGGGTGGACAGGTCAGTCAAGGCCTATTCTGGGTCCACATACGGGAATTTGAACTTTCTCCTTTGGGAAGTCATCGAAGAGTTTCAAATAGGAGCAAGCTGTGTGTGTGCCTGTGTTGGATGTGATCAGAGCTGTGTTTTGAAATGACCCCTTCAGCTGCAGCGTGGAGAATGAAGTGGAGAGGGGCCAGAATGGAGGCCCGGGGAGGCCAGTGTGGAGCAGCGTGGATTCTGGGGGGAGGCTGTGGAAGGGGACCCAGTTGCTATCGCCGAGGTGGGAGCAATGGGCCTGGATGGATGGGGACAGGAGGTGGGAGAGTTGGCAGTTTCGCCATCCACACTCCTGGGATGTTGGGCGTCTAGGAATCAGGGTTGGAGAAAGATGTCACTGGGCTTGGGTCAGAGACACTGGCTTGCTCCAGGGCTCGTGGGACGGGGGCAGGCAAACCTCGGAAGCCCACGTGTCCTCTCACATTCTGAAAACGCTTCTCTTCTTTTCAAAGGTGAAAAATGTCGCAGCTTCATTGACCTGGCCCCGGCATCGGAGAAAGGTGAGTGTGGCCCCAGCTCAGCTGTGGCAGCTCCGCCCTCTCTGGGGACATCTTTCCTGCCTTGGTGGCTCCCCAAAGCCCTGTGATAGCGTCTCCTTCAGCATCCCCGGGCAACAGGGTCCTGGAAGCCAGACACCCTGTTGCAAAGCCCTGAGTTTCTTGAGCTCTCAGTAGAGTGGGAGAGGCTGGTGAATGGGGACTGCCTGCCCTCCCTGTCTGACGGAGTAGTCCTGAGGGTCACCACCCTTCCATTCTGTCCAGCGCATGCTGGGACTGTGGGAGGGATGATGGGGGTGTGGACGTTTGGTTCAGGCAAGACCGGTGTTGGGGTTTGCCTCCAGTTGTAGGATTTGACCTTGGAGGAGGGAAGCCAGGTGCCTGGCCTTTGTCATCTCACAGGTGTGGGGAGGGCCAGTCTGATTGGATGCTACCATCTAGAGAGATCTCAGTGGTGTTCAGAGCCTGACAGCAGAGGCTCTGAGCCCACAGAGATGTTCAGAGCTGTGCAAGGCAGTGACTGGATTATCAGGAGCAGGGCACAGCTTGAGTAGGGGGATAGCAGTCAGGATTAGGTTTAGTTGCAAGTAATAGTGACCCTAAATAACTGATTTCAATGGAGAAATTTATCTCTTTTGTAAAAGTTTGGAAGTACGCAATCCAAGGTAGGTCTGCTCCATGAAGTCCTCAGGATCCTGGCCTCTGCTGCCCTCTCTGTTGTCCCATTTCCTTTTTCTTCATGGTCTAAGATGGCTGCCAGAGCACCAGTCATTGCATCTGCATTCCAGGCAGCAGGATGCAGGAAGGGCAAACTCTAAGGTTCCCAGAAGTTATCCTACAACACCTGCATATATCTCCTTGACCAGAACTAGTCACATGGTCACACCCAACTGGAAGGGAGGCTGGGAAATGTGGTCTTTATCCTGGGCAATGCTGTGCCTAGATGAAAGTCAGGGATTTTGTTATTGTGGAAGAATGAGAGAATGGACACAGGAGGAGAGCCTGCCGCAGGGACATGGGGGAGTGTGGCTGCCTCCCCACCTGCCTACCCTCTGCCACCCAGGAGATAGGCTGCCAAGAGTGAAACAGGTATGCATGTCTCTTCAGATAGCCTGGAGATTAAGAGAGGGCTCTGGGCTTGGGAGTCAGGGGAGGGGAAACTGAGGCAGAAGGGCACCACGTGTTCCAGAAGCTGGTGGCATTCTATTTTGCAGACACCATCTCCTTGGAGCGCTCCAATCAAGTGGAGCTGGTGAAGTTGAGGGGCAAGAGACAGGGAACCCACTGGGCCCTCAGTTCCCAGAAAGCGACAAGGACTCCCTATCCCCTCTCGACAGTCAGGACCGCCTCCTCCATTTCTTTGATGTCCCCATGGCTGTGTCCTGTTTAATTGCTATATGTGGCCATCTCTGAAACATTTTGCTGTGCAGCTTAAGCCATAGCTTCCAAATTGAGATCACTGGAAAATACAATAATACGACCACTGCATGGCTGCTATTTGTTGAACAGTTACTAGGTGTCGGATACAGTGTGAAGCACGTTACAAGCATCAACTGAGAAACCTCCCCACAACCCCGTGAGGAAGGGGCTGTCATTTTCACTGCCACCTGACAGATGAGGAAACCAAGGCTTAGAGAGATGAAGTCACTTAGGTCTCACACCTCATGAGGGGCAGAGCTGGGTGAAATCCAGGCCCGCGCTTCACACCTCTCCACTGTCTGCAGCCCTCTGGGATGTGCATCCCATAATTCCCAAGGCCTTGGAGCTCCTGGGTCAACTTTGCTCCAAATCTGGCTTCCAGAAAGCAGGGCCTGTGTGTGTGTACATGCATGTATGCACGTGTCCCGGGTGAGGGTGAGCGTGCGTGTGCACGAGCAGCTGCTGCTATGTGTGTGTACGCATGCATGCCTGTGGATGAGCAGGGTGAGCGTGTGTGAATGTGGGCATGGAGGCGTGTACACATGCATGCACACATGCGTGCACATGTGAGTGCAGGTGCCTTGTGTGCCCATGTGTGCATAAGCACAGGTGCGTTCTAGGGTGAGCACACACGGGTTATGTGCCCATGTGAGTGCACATGTGAATGTGAGTACGTGTGTGTGTGCATGCCTGTGTACAGTGGCAGGTGGGTGGCCTGTGCGCCTCCAGAAGGCATCAGGCCTTTATTTTGCTGCTTTTACAAGAGCCCCAAAGAGGTCATATCTTTGTGTTTTACTGGCCTTGTGATTTTACTTTTAGGGCTTGGCAGCCACGCCGAGAACCTTCTGGCTGTGTATATAAAAATGTTTACAAGAAGGCTGAGTGGGCTGGCTTTGCCACTGAGGTGCTGAATGATTTTCATGTACTCGCTGTCTCTCAAACACTGTAGCTCTTGCTTGGGATTGGCAGCGTTTGGTCCAAGGCAGCCCATGTGGCCTCTCCCCATGTATATGGGCCCAGCCCTTCCAGTAGACACCAGCAGTAACGTGACACCCTCAGACCCATCCATTTTCTCCCCACCACACTCAGCTTCTCCGTTTCACAGAAGAATCCAAAGGCAGAGAGACAAGGAACTTGTTCCCAGCCACACTGGGAGTGCAGAGTTGGATGTCCACACCCAGCTGTGTTCTCACCCAATGAATACTCTTTCCTTAGGTTATGGCTCCTGCACCGGCTCCCTCTGGAACCTCCCTCCTGGTATCTTTCTGATCTGCCACATATGCTAATCACGACACTGGCCCTAACTGACTTTCATACGGTACTTACTGTGTGCCAGGGGCTATGTTGAGAACTTGGCACACGTTGGCTCCTATAATCCCCCTTTTACAGGGAAGGAAACTGAGGCACAGAGTGACCACACAGGTGGAAAATGGGGGAACTGGGATTTGAACCTGAACAGTCCGGCTCTTAAATGCCTGGTTCTCCTGCTGAAAAGCTTAGGGCTTCTGAGGCCTGGGGGATATCTGTACCCGCTTTAT